ACAGTTGCTGTGTTATATTGCCACCACTTGTCTGTTAGTTTGTTGTACTGTGGTGGTTTGTATGTTGCTGTGATGCTAGAAGCTATGTTTGTTGTTGTTGCTATGTGCTGTGGAGTCGGTTCCGACTCATAGCAACCCTGTACAGGGTTTCCAAGGCTGGACATCTTTATGGGAGCAGAAAGCCTCATCTTTCTCCCGTGGAACAGCTGATAGTTTCGAACTGCTGACCTTGAGGTTTGCAGACCGATTTGTAACCACTATGCTACCAGAGCTATGCTACTGGTATTTTAAATACCAGCAGTGTCACTCATGGTGGACAGGTTTCAGTACAGCTTCTAGACTAAGACAGACTAGGAAGAAGTACGCTACACTACTTCTGAATGGTTAGCCACTGAAAACCTTTTGAATAGCAGCATAACATTGTCAGATATAATACCTGAAGATGAAAACATTACAAACACACCAGAATATGGTCTGATACAGTGCTGGCAAATACGACTGGGGAAGAGCTGCTTCCTCAGGGTAGAGCTGACCATTAATGAGGTGAGTGGAGTAAAGTTTTCAAGATCTTCATTAGCTAATGGGACAAAAATCAAAATGAGAAAAACAGCTACAAACATTCATTAATGATCAAGACATGGAATGTACAAAGTATGAATCCAGGAATATTGGAAGTCAAAAATGAAATGGAACACATAAACATCAATATCCTAGGCAATGCTGTTGTTAAGTACCTTCCAGTGTATTGCTATTAGCCATTTTGAATCTGACAATCATATGGTTTACCATGATAGGAATGATAAATTGAAAAAGGAATGGTATCACATTCATGGTCAAAAAGGATATTTCAAGATCTGTTTGTGATAGGATAATACCCATACCCCTACAAGAAAGACCAATTAATATCACTATTATACAAATTTACACACCAACCACTAAAGCCAGTGATGATGAAATTGAAGAGTTTGTCCCTGGCCTTGTTTTGGCTGATGATATTGAGTTTTTCCATGATATCTTCCCAAAGATGTAGTTAGTTTGATTCCTGTGTATTCTATCTGGTAAAGTCCATTTGTATAGTCATCATTTATATTGTTTTAAAGAGGTGTGTACAATGAATAAGTCATTAGTCTTACAAAATTCTATTATGCAATTGCAATCTCCAACATCATTTCTATCACCAAGGTAATATTTTCCAACCATTGATCCCTCCTCTTTGTTTCCATAATTTGCATTCCAATCATCAGTAACCATCAATGCATCTTGATTGCATGTTTGATCCATTTTAGATGAAAGAAATTGGTAGGACTGTGAAATAGACCATCAGTTGCTTAAATGCAAGTTCAGGCTGAAGATGAAGAAAATTAAAACAAGCCCATAAGAGCCAAAATATGACCTTGAGTATATCCCACTTGAATTTTGAGACTTTCTCAAGAACAGATTTGATGCTTTAGATACTGACCAGAAAGTTGTGGCACGACATCAAGAACATCATACATAAACAAAGAAACAGGTCATTATAAAGACAGGAAAGAAAGAAAAGACCAAAATGGCTGTCAGAAGACATTCTGAAACTTGCTCTTTAGCAGAGAAGCTAAACTGAATGGAAGAAATGATCAAGTAAAAGAGCTGAACAGAACAATTTAAAGGGCAGCTCAACTAGACAAAGTCAAGTATTATTATTATTTTCTTTTTTTAATAAATGTTTTATTGTGAATTGTGTGATAGTTTACATGGGAGAACATTAGTTTTACATTAATTCTATCATACATTGTTTCATTGCCATAGTTACCATTCCGTCCATGCATCATCACCCAACCAAAGGGTATATCCTGCACGCCTGCCGCCCCCGCCCCACGGTCCTCAGCACACAGCCCCTTTCCCTCTCTTCAACCAGATAAAGTCAAGTATTATAATGAAATGTGCAAAGACCTGGAGTTAGAATACCCAAAGTGAAGAACATGCTCAGCATTTCTCAAGCTGAAAGAACTGAAGAAAAAATTCAAACCTTGGGTTGAAATACTGAAAGATTTTATAGCAAACAAGTGAATGATGCAGGAAGCATCAAAAGAAGTTGGAAGAGTCACTGTACCAAGATGAATTGGTCAATGTTCAATCAATTCAAGAGATACCATATGATCAAGAACTGAAGCTAATGATCAAGAAACAAAGAAGTTCAAGCTGCTCTGATCATATTGGGAGAAAACAAGGTTCCAGGAATTCGTGGAATACAAATTGAGATGTTTCAACAAACAGATACAGCATTGGCGATGTTCATCTATCTATGCCAAGAAATTTGGAAAACAGCTAGCTAGCCAACAGATTGGAAGAGATCCATGTGTGTGCCCATTCCAAAGAAAGGTGACCCAACAGAATGTTAAAATCATGGAACAATATCATTAATATCACATGCAAGTAAAAATTTGCTGAAGATATTTAAAAAAAACAATTACTGCAGTACATTGACAGGGAGCTGCCAGACAAGCCAAATTCAGAAGAGGACAAGGAACTAGCAATATTATTGCTGATTCTGATGGCTCTTGGCTGAAAGCAGAGAATGCCAGAAAGATGATTACTTGTGTGTGTGGTTTTTTTTTTTTTTAAACTTGTATTTTATTGACCATGCAAAGGCATTTGACTGTGTGGATAATAACAAATTATGGATAACATTGTGAAGAATGGGTATTCTAGAACACTCAATTGTGCTCATGAGGAACCTGTACATACACCAAGAGGCAGTTGTTTAAAGTCAGGAAAGGTGTGTGCTAGGGTATATTCTTTCACCTTATTTATAAGGATAAGCACTGGACAGCATGGTCAGTTTAAACCGCAAGGTCAGTGGTTCCAGCTTTCCAGCCACTCCTCTGAAACCCTATACAGAGTAGTTCTGAGTTGGAACCGACTCAATGGCATTTAATAACAACAACAATTCAATCTCTTTGCTGAGCAAATAGTCTCAGAACTTGATTATATAATGAAGAATGTGGTATCAGGATTGGAGGAAGACCCATTAACAACTTATGATACGCAGATGGCACAATCTTGCTTGCTGGAAATGAAGAAGACTTAAAATACTTACTGATGAAGATCATAGACCAGAGCCTTCAGTTTGGACTGCACTTCATTGTAAAGAAAATGAAAGTCCTCACAACTAGACCAATAAATAAGATCCTCATAAATGGAGAAAAGATTGAAGTTGTCAAAGACTTCATTCTGCTTGGATCCACAATCAATGCTCATGGAAACAGCAGTTAAGAAATGAAACAATTTGTTGCATTAGGTAAATCTGATGTAAAAGGTCTATTCAAAGTGTTTAAAAGCAAAGTTGTCACTTGGAGGACTAAGGTATGCCTGGCTCAAGCCATAGTATTTTCAGTCATTTCATATGCATGTGAAAGTTGGAGAATGGATATGGAAAACCACAGAATAAGTGATGTATTTGTGTTATGGTGTTGGCAAAGAATATTGAAAGTACCATGGACTACTACCAGAAGCTCAAACAAATCTATCTTGGAAGAAGTATAGTCAGAACATTCCTTATAAATGGGGATGGTAAGATTTCCTCTCTCATACTTTGGACACATATCAGGAGGGACCAGTCCCTGGAGAAAGATATCATATTTGGGAAAGTGGAGGGTCAGGGAAAAAGAGGAAGACCTCCAATAAGATGGATTGACAAAATGACAGCCAAACAGGCTCAAATGTAACAATAACTGTGAGGATGGCACAGAACCGGACAGTGTTTCGTTCTGTTGTGTGTAGGTTTGTTATGAATTGGAACGGACTCTATGGCACCTAACAACAACAACATCATAACAGAGTACTCAATCACCAAGTGTTCCTTGCATTTTCAGTAAGCACAGCTGGCAAACTCTAAGTGTCCTGTGTATAGTCTGACATAATAGCCACCATCAACTAAAGCTATCACTGAATGAACTGGGTCTTCACCAGTCTTCTGGCAGAGAAACATTCAGCATTCATGGGTGCTGGATGCCAAGTAAACATAAATGATGGTCCAACAGTCTGTTTTTGCAATTTAAAAATTATCGTTGAACTGAAAATAGCATAGCGAAAATAATACATATTTTTAATTTTGGTTTGTGCTTTGGGGGTGGGGGTGGGGATTCAGGCCTGGGTCAGCCTCACATTTCATACCCAGAGTGCAAAAGTAGCTTTGTTCATCTGGTTTTCCCTCCCTCCCCTGAGTTTCTTCTCTTCCCACAGCCTAGCAGGATGGCCTTTTTCTGCAGGGGTTTACTAATCTAGATTTTGGAGGTGGTCCACTACCTGCCTCCTATGCTTATCTAGAATTGTGCCACAATTTATTAAGAAACAATTTTTTGAAAGCAAACCAGAATCTAAAACCAAATCTGCCGCCATCTGGTCGATTCCTCCTCGTAGTGACCCTGTATAGGGTTTCTGAGGCTGTAAATTATTACCAGGACAGAAAGATGAGTGGATTTGCACTCATGGTTAGAAATACAGTACCTCCAGGACTCAAAACTTCAACTTGTAGGCCCAAGAAAAATTAACCTTCCCAAAACAGCTTGAATGGGGTGACCTGCTGGAAAATGTAGTTTCTAAGTTTTTCAAATCGTAGATTCTGCAAAGCACCGTCATGGTTCTGTGTGCCCTGGCCAAGCAACTAAGCGCAAGATATTAGAAGAGAAGGGGGTACTAGAGAGATAGACAGTGCACGAACGGATGCGGGGTTCCATTGTGTGGGGCATCATCGCCAGAGACATTGCTTTGAGCTCCTCGGTTCGCCCCCCAGCGACGCCTAGGGACCCCAGCTCACTCTCAGCCTTGCTTCCCTCTCTTACTGCTCTGAGCTTCGTACCGCCCCTTTAGGCACTCACTTCCTGCGTGCGCCGCTCCCGACACGTCGGCTGGAAAAGGGTGGCGGGAAGCGCAGCGTGTTCTGGCACCTCTGGTGTTTTTGCGTCTTCCCTAACTCCAGCCGCTGCTTTGTCTGTACCCAGTGTCCTACCACAGCTTTGGCCATGGGTGCCGCCAGCTCTTCGGCGCTGGCCCGCCTCGGCTTCCCCGCGCCGCGTCTCTCCGCGCAGTCCCGGTCCTGGTGGCTCGGGGTGGCCGCGCTGGGACTGGCCACCATGGCGCTGGGGGCCGTGGCCTGGCGCCGCGGGCGATCCAGAAGGCGCCGGAGACTGCAGCAGGTGGGCACTGTGGCGCAGCTCTGGATCTACCCGGTCAAGTCCTGCAAGGGGGTGCTGGTGAACGAGGCCGAGTGCACGGCCCTGGGACTGCGCAGTGGCCACCTGAGGGACAGGTATGGCCGAACTCGGGCTAGTGGGCAGCGCGGGCCGGCTAATGGATAGGTTCTGGTAAGAGAACATAGGTTTGGGACCTGGGTGACCTGGGCTGACCATTCAGATTTGGAAAGGTAGGAAGAACTTTACCCTTGAGCAAGCACCTGCTGTTACCTGAATGAGAGGCCCCTGTTTTGTAAAAGAAGGTGGTCTTATGAGCTCTAACGTTTCTGATTCTCTATCCTAGTCTGACACAGAAGTAGAAAAATAAAATGCCAATGGCACTAGTAGCGGGGTAAGGACTGTGCAGAAACTGAGTGGTGTTCAAGGTCACGGACTTCCTGAGACTTGTTCTTTGTAATTCCCCAATCCTGGGGGTCTTGCCTGAGAGACCTGACCTACTTTAATGAGTGAAGTCATCTGCTTGGGTGTCTGGGAGATAGCCTCACTGATGGGCCAGGACTCTGATACTTGCTTTAAGAGAATGGTGTGGCCCCTGGTCCTCTAGAAGCCGAGTGGTCATTAGCTAAGAGCTTGGGTAAAATTCCAGCACAGTATAGGGCCTGGCACGTAGGAATTTTGTCCTCCACTCTCAGAAAAGGAAAGTTGCCATATTATTGTACTCATCCCCAAATTAAACATACCCCGTGGCCCCAGAATTAGGTAGGCTCTTTTGACAGCTCTGGCAGAAGTTCAAAACTACCAGCTATGGGAGAAAGATGAGGCTTTCTGCTCCCCTAAAGATTTACAGCCTCTGAATACCCATACAGTGTCGCTATGAGTCAGAACCAACTCCACAGACATACTACCATCTTGACAGTGAAAGGTGTTACATCCTAGAAAGGGCAGTGGAGAAAGAACTGGATTTCCCTCTGGTTCATTAGTGAGATGCCCTCTTATTTGGCTAGAATGTAGTTGAGCTGTGGTATTGTGTCTGGTGGGAGGGAGACTTTCAAGTTCATTCAGGGAAACTTCTAGCAGAGGGGCCATCTGCTGCCCAGGGTTCACTCCAGGTTTTCTGTAAGCACTGTTCTCTGAAGGTGTTTGTCCCCTTAAATGTCAGCTCCACAGTATACTGGAGAACCAATGTTAAATTGTTTTTAACCAAGTGTTGTATATGCAGACTGTGTAACTCCTAGGGGATTTCCATTTCCCTTCACCAGATTTCTAATTCTGGGGAGATTTTAAAAAGATACAGTTTCATGAATTCCCAGCCAGACTCATCAAGCAATGGAGCTGGCCTGTGTTGAGTGTTTGAAGCTCCTCAGTTGTATTACCTGGGATCATTAAGAAGGCAAACAGCATGTTTGAGGTTTATTCAACTGTGAAGGATTAGAAAAGCCTTGTCACTGGAAGGATTCCAGGCACAGCAGGACTACACGCCTCCAAACACTGGGTGAAGCAAATTCTCACGATGCACTTCCCAAGAACTTGGACTTTTGTCATTTCCTTCTTCATTTGAAAGTTTGAGGCTGTTTTACAGACAAATGTCCAGTCCTTGGCCATGGTTCTTCTGATCACCCGAATAACTGCTGCTTTCCCACATCTTACTCACACAGCTTTTGGGAGACTTTCAGGGGAAGAGGCATTTCCTTTGCCTGTGCTTTCCTGCATGCGTGAATGTCCAAAAACAAATACAACTGTATCAGATCTCCTTTGTTTTGAACAATGAGTCCTTGGGATGGGATGGGGTGGTATGAAAAATGAAGAGGAGGACAATGAAACTAACATTGATTCAGCCCTTAATATGCAGTCCTCAGAGTGCAGTGGAGTCCTGGTGTTGTGCTGTAGGATAAGCAATAGATTGCTAACTGCAAGGTTGTCGGTTCAAACCCACCAGTTGCTCCTAATTGCTATGAATGGAACCAACTCCATGGCACTTAAAAGCAACAAGTGGTGCAGTGGGTTAAGAGTTGGACTACTAACCACAAGGTTGGTAGAGAGAGTTCAGATCCACCAGCTGCCACGTTGGGGGTGGGGTAAGATAAGGCAATCTGCTCCTGCCAAATTTAGTCTTGGAAACCCCAAGGAGCAGATCCACTCTGTTCTCTAGGGCTGCAGTGAGTCAGAGTCAACTTGATGGAAGAAGATTTGGTTTGGTTTTGGTTTTAATATGCCGCAGACAACTGAACTAAATGCTTTCATCACCATTTACTATTGAGTCCATTTTGACTGATGTGTCAGAGAAGAACTAGACACAAACCATAGGGCTTTTGATGGTTGATTTTTCCCTCCCCCCAGAAGATCACCAGGACTTTCTTCCAAGTCACCTCTGAGTGGACTCAAACCTCTAACCTTTCAATTAGTCACCTGAGCATGTTTATCGTTTGTACCACCCAGGGACTCAAAATCGTTTCATGTGTTGTTTTTGTTTAGTGCATTTGAGTTGGTTCTGACATATAGCAATCCTGTCTGTATAAGGTTCCTGAGGAGTGGCTGGTGAGTTTGAACTGCCAACCTTGTGGTTTAAACTGACTTCATGGGTGAGTGCTTATCTTACGCCACCGTACCAGGACTCCATATAGATTATCTTAATTAAGTTTTGTAACAATCTTGTGGGCTAGTTATTACTCTCTCATTTTACAACTAATGAAACAGAGACAGAAAGGATACTGAGAGACAGTATCTCACCCAAGATCACAAATCTGTATGTGTTGAAGGGATTTTAACTCAAGTTTGTGTGAGTACATTCATGCTCTCAATGAATTCATCTGCAATATAGAGGTTTAAGGACTGCACCGAGGAGCAGGAGACCTTGGACATAGTCACTCTGAGTCTCATTTTTCTCATTTGGAAAATGATGATCTCCAATACCCAGCTAACATAGATTTTGTTATCAAAGGTTCATTGAAATTCGAAAAGACTTGCTCTTTCCAAAGAGCGCCTGTTGTTCTCTTAACCCAAGATGGCAATTAAAAAAAAATTCCTATAGCAAATCATTGTGTTTGAGGTGATTCTGACCCATGGCCTTCACAGAGTTTTCATGACTATAAATACATGGGATCACCATGAATCCATATTAACATGGTTTTTGTTTTGTTTTGAACCTTTTATGAAAACAGATCACTAAGTCTTCCACACAGTGTCACTGAGTGGGCTTGAACTACCAACTTTTAAGTTCATAAATAGTCACGCGCTAACCATTTGTACCGGATGCAGGAAAAGGCCTCTTTTATTCAGCTCCATTCTGCATTTGTAGTTTTGGTACTCCATTTAAGAAATGAGTCCCGGTGTCATGCTGTAGGATAAGGTCGGTTTGAACTGTAAGGTCGGTGGTTCAAACTCATCAGCCACTCCTCGGGAACCCTATGCAGGGTCGCTGTGATTCGGAACCAACTCAATGGCACTTTACAACAACAACATTTAAGAAACTGGGATCTTCCTCTGTCAGCGCACTATGCTTCAGCTTTCTGGTGGTATTTTGTTAGCTTTTAACATATTAGTGAACACTTGGCTGGAACACCCTGTGCTTTGATGGTGCTTAAAGTCCACCTGGCACAATGCTGGCATTGACTGCCTCCATTCAGGTCCTGGGAGAGCCTGGCTGTTCTCCCTAACCATGTAAAGTCTCTCTCCTCAGCAGTCATTGGTGATTGCATCATTTGGAAATCTCTCTAAACTCTGTCTAATGCCAGTCCTCTATTCCCTTCGCACAGGGAATGAAATTTCTAAGTTTATTACCCAGTATGCCACTCCCTGTTCAACTCTTGTGCCTTTCCCCTCTCTGGGGTTGGGGTTGCGTCTGTGCTCAGTCTTTCCTGCTCCGCAGGCCATTTGTAACTTGAGGAATGAGATTTTTAAGCTGTCTGGGATTCCTCCTTCCCATCTTTGTTGGTTATTCAGGGCCCTGATGTTCTTTTCTGGAATCTGAGTTCTGGACGCCTGCACCAATCCTGATGATATGTACTCACGGTTTATATGTGAAATCAAGATGCTGGCGTTTAGTATTGCACACTAGATTATGATAGCCTTCTCATGGAAAAAGCATTCTCCAGATGTACCCTTCCTTTCAGCTCAGCAGAAAAGAGCTAATTAGTGTAGTGGTTACTAATCAGGCTGCTAACCTCAAGGTCGGCAGTTCAAAACTACCAACTGTTGTGCAGGAGAAAGATAAAGCTTTCTCCTCCCGTAAAGATTTGCGGCCTCGGAAACCCTGTGCAGGGTCACTATGAGTCGGAACCAACTCCACGGTACTTAACAACAACAACATATCATTTGTATGCAAGTGGTAAAAAATCTCATTGCCTTTACTTTATATTATTCACCTTTGTCCTGCCACTTGTCTGATTTTTCAGTCGCAGTTATTAACACAAAATATTTCACCAACACTTCCCATTGTTAACTTCTTAAAGTTACCTCACTGAAGCTAAGGCTGGGCATAGCTGTGGGCCTGGATGAAGAGCTAATATTGGAAGATAGATGGGGATGAGAAGACTCAGCCCAGGGAAGGGCTCACTGTCAAAATGATAGGCAGACGAATGTCACTCCTGTTTAGACATGCATCTGGTCATAGGCAGATCTTAGAGGGTGTCTTGGCTGAAGATGGGGCATGTGGGGCGTTAGGGTGCAGGCCTTCATGAGGTTAAGTCCTGGTGTGGCGCTATAGGCTAATACGTCAGATTGCAAAGTCGTTAGAACTGCAAGGTCGGTGGTTCAAGCTCACCAGCTGCTCCTTGGAAACCCTATACAGGGTCGCTATGAGTTGGCATCGACTCGATGACACTTAACAACAACAACAACTTTGCACTCTAGGATGAGCCTGAAAGTATGGAATGAAGCCTACCTTTAAGGGAAAAAAAATCTGTGACAAGCCCAAACACACTGCTGTTGGGTTGATTCCAACACATAGGGACGTTATAGGACAGGGTAGAACTGCCCCATAGGGTTTCCAAGGATGTAATCTTTATGGAGAATACTGGTGTGGTGCTGTAGGATAATCACTGGACTGCTAACTGCAAGGTCAGCAGTTCAAACCCACCAGCCATTCCTCAGAAACCCTGTACAGAATCCCTAGGAGTCAGAACTGACTTGATATCACTTGACAACAACATCAATATTTATGGGAGCAGATTGCCACATCTTTCTTCCGTGGAGCAACTGGTGAGCTTGAACCGTCGACCTTTTGGTTAGCAGCCAAGCTCTTTATCCACTGCACTATAAGGGCTCCATGGTTGTGACAAAGTAGACAGAAAATCCTTGGGTACTACTCAAGACACCTAGAAAGAAAACAGTGGCCTCTTCAGAAGGGTGGGGACCAACTACTGCTTGGTACTGACAACTCGTGGGAAAGGAGTAGACAAGATCATTACTAAAATGTTCTCACCACCACTGCCACAGCCTCACACCAACACCTGTGCCCGTTGTTGTTGTTGTGAAGTGCTGTCGAGTCAGTTCTGACCCATAGCGACTCGGTATAGGGTTTCCTAGGAGCAGCTGGTGAGCTTGAACTGTCGACCTTGCAGTTCAAACGGCTTGCAGTCTGTCTGGCTCATTAACCCACACTGCCACACCAGGGCACAAACTGCCAGCTATCATCTGCTGGCTTGGTTGTAGAGAATGCACAGATTAGATAGCACCTGGCAGGGGTTCCAGGTGAGAAGCCACCGAGCAGGGTATCTCCCTTGTTAGATGTTCTCAGATGTTACTCAGATGGTCCCATTGCAGTCCTGTCAGGTTTTAAAAATGCCTCCCAGAGTGGGGCTGCCCCTTATTCCAGAAAAGGTTGCCCTTTATTATTTTTAAAATCACTGTAGTTATTTTGTTTGTTTTTCTGAACAAACTGACACACAGTGGATTCATTTGTGGAGTTTATTTTGTTTT